GTCAGGTCATCTGGACAGTTTCTTTTTTTGCTGAAACGTTTCACCTTCTATCCGGAAGGCTTCATCAGTCAAGGAAACACACAACACAAAACTGATTCTTCCCCCAGCTTACTCCAAAGTGGAACAAACCAGTTATATTGGTGCTAAGATGGTGTCTTTGGCACACCCCCTCCTCTTGTGCCAGCCCTCTTCCTCATCGACAGTCATGTCAAACTGGTTCAAAACCAAAAAAGGTCCGAATAGAAGGTGAAATGTTTCATCAAAAAATAAACTGTCCAGATGACCTGACTGAAAATTGTTGATTGTATACTTGGATTATGACGGTTGATGTAAGCTGCTGCCACTCTGTTGTCTGTGTGGATCAGAACATGCTGCTCCCGTAGAAGAGGAGCAAAATACTGAGTCACTTTCCAGACTACTGTGAGAAGCTCCAACACATTTATGTGGAGAGACGTGTGGTCTGGCCACTGTGCTCCCACCGCCTGGGACAGAGACGTTCCTCCCCAACCTGACAGGGACGCATCCGTGAACACTGAGACGTGTGACGTAGACCTGCTGATGGGGACTCCCTCTGACAGGATGAGGGTGTTTCCCCAGTGATTCAGATCAGCTTCCATGGAGGGGAGCCAGAGATCATCCGTCTCTTCTGGTGCACAGGATCTATGCACAGGCAGGCGAACCATCTCTGAAGGTGTCTCATGTGAAGCAGGCCCAGTGGGACCACAACGTGAGCTGCTGACATCATCCCCAGGAGCTGCATGACAGACAGGGCTGTCACTACGCTGCGAGGTTTGACACGGCGGAGCTGAGCTGACAGAGCGTCGGCTCTTGGCTGTGATAATCGGGCTCTCATTGTGGTTGAGTTTAGCTTTACTCCCAGATAAACAATCATCTGGGACGGGAGAACAGAACTTTTTTCCCAGTTTATAGAAAAACCCACGTTTAGCAGGTGTACCGCTAGAGCTTTGGTCTGCGCGGCTGCTTCCTGCCTGGACTGAGGTAATAAAAGCAGATAGTCCAGATAAAAAAGGATTCTCATTCCCGGCATGTGTAATGGCTGCAGAGTCGTCTCCATGCATTTGGAGAATGTGCGTGGGGCGAGGGAATAACCAAACAGTAGCCTGTTGTACTGATACGGAATCCCCTGGAAGGAGAAACGCAGAAATTTTCTATGTTTCGGAATGAAGGGAATGGGAAATATGCGTCCTTCAGATCTATAGAGGTGAACCAGTCGTTCTAGTGAACATTCTCCAGCAGCTGTTTGATTGTAAGCATGTGGAATTGTCTCTCCATGATCGATTTGCTGAACATAGAAAGGTCGAGAATGAGTCTCATCCCTCCTATTTTTTTCATAACCAGGAAGTAGCAGGAGTAAAACCCCGTGTTTTCTTCTCTGTTGGGAACTCTGGAAATGAAGTTTTATATCAGGAGTTCCTGAACTTCTGACGAGAGACAAGCTCTGTTCTGGAGGTGGCAGAACCGTCTCTATAATCCCTCTGAACGATGGGGGGTGAGCTGTAAACTGCAGTGTGTAACCCCTGCTGATCAGTCGGTCCATCCACCTGTCCAGGGAACACACTCGCTGCCACTCTGAGTAACGCTCGGAGAGCGGGCGCGCATTTTTGTGTTGTGTCATGGTTCTCATGGACGTCAGCCAACCTAGAGCCCCTAACACCGTCACCCGCTTCGGAGATTCTCTGGGGGGGACCCAAGGGGGGCTCAGACAGAAAGGGCTGTCTGTATGCCTCTGTGATGTGCTCAGGCTGCGGGCTCACGTTAGAACTGAGGTGAGCTGGCCTGCACTGAGAGGAGGTATGCCGCTTTTTTACAATGAGAGACCGTTTCCGGGGGGGGGGGGGGGGGGGGG